GAGAGAGAGAGAGAGAGAGAGTAACATGGAGAGAGAGAGAGATCATTAATCAGTGAGCAGCAGGGAGGATACAGTATCTGTAATGTAATGCTGTCACTAATCAGCTGATTAAACCAATAACCAAATCAATACATCATATATATAACATGGAGAGAGAGAGAGTAACATGGAGAGAGAGAGAGTAACATGGAGAGAGAGAGAGTGACATGGAGAGAGAGAGAGTGACATGGAGAGAGAGAGAGAGAGTGTAACATGGAGAGAGAGTGAGTAACATGGAGAGAGAGATCATTAATCAGTGAGCAGCAGGGAGGATACAGTATCAGTAATGTAATGCTGTCACTAATCAGCTGATTAAATCAATAACCAAATCAATACATCATATATATAACATGGAGAGAGGGAGAGAGAGTGTAACATGGAGAGAGAGAGAGTAACATGGAGAGAGAGAGAGTAACATGGAGAGAGAGAGAGTGACATGGAGAGAGAGAGAGAGTGTAACATGGAGAGAGAGTGAGTAACATGGAGAGAGAGATCATTAATTCACGGATTTTACAATTATCATGACGGAAAGTCATGATTTTATTAAAGACACGGAGGCGAGTATTATGCTGCACTCTTTCTTTATTTCCCTCAGCAGCAAAGAAATATTATTGAAAGAAAACATTCAAAACAGGTTTAAACATCCTATAGGCAATGTCTGCCTAGCAACATGACATCCAATCAGTGACATCTTTCCCATATAGTAGGCGGTGCAATGATGACCATTTCCTCTTTCTTGCGACTCCCGAAGAAAACTCAAAACGGAACAGGGATAACCAAGTAAACCATACGAGCCGTAACACGGCATGTGATTCCAGGAGCACCGTCAATCAGGTCACGCTAAAGAAACAAGAAAAAATATAATAATTTCTTGCAAGTTTGGGTTGTCCGCATATACATAGGCCCCAATGGCTGAGTAAACAGTGTAAGCCTTACACAATCAGTAGTAAGAGACAATCATTGATTTGGGGACAACAGTGCCAAAGTCCCATCAGTAGCTAAAGTCCTAGAGTGATGTAGGTGTGTGATGGTACCACTACCGCCCAATTGGACTTACCTTGGAGAGGTCTGAGAAACTTACCTCGACCCACCTCTGAGCCGCCCGCGGGCGGGTGGGTGGGATAATACTCGCCTCCGTGTCTTTAATAAAATCATGACTTTCCGTCATGATAATTGTAAAATCCGTGAATTTTATTAAAGACCCGGAGGCTCCTATTATGCTATTTCAAAGCTGTGCTATCACGGCTTCTGCGAAATGCTGGATTGGTTTGAAATAGAAATTACGGAAAGTAGATTCTGTGGACCAATCAGCCGCCTTCAAGATATCCTCCAAGCGACAACCCGCAAAGGAGGCTTTAGAGGCCATGGCGCCCCGGACCGAATGAGGAGAGAATATGGAGGTATCAATACCTGCTAAGGACATGAGCCATTTGACCCAGCGTGCCAAGGTAGGAGAGGATACCGGAGCATGTGGTTTCCGGAAGGAGATGAAGAGTTGGGGGTCTGATCCAGACCGAAGGGGTGCAGTACGAGCTTCGTACGTCCTCAGACACGCTACTGGGCAAAGGAGAGGCTGCATGGGAAAAGCTGGGTACCGGACCGACTTAGAGGACGATTTCGTCCTACGTGTTATGTCAAAAACGACTCCTTCTGGGGTGAAGGATCGGGCATTGACATCGAGGGCTCTAACGTCCGATACCCTTTTGCAGGAGATTAGGCACAACAGCATAACTAGCTTAGCTGAGAGCTGTTTTAAGGATAAAGACTCATTGTCTGGCCACCTAGTCAGGAATTGCAATACCAGGGAGACATCCCATAGGGAGGAATAGCGAGGTAGGGGCGGCCTCGCAAAGCGAATGCCTCGGAGAAGACGACAAACCAGTGGATGTCGTCCTAACGGGGTCCCCTCGATGCCGGTATGGCCGGCTGAGATAGCTGACCGGTAGAGGTTTATCGTCCTGTAAGCTTTCCCCGTCTCATACAGGGAGGTTAAAAATTGTAGGACGTTCGTCACAGTAGTTGATAGGGGATCCACACCCCGTGCCATGCACCAACCATCCCATGTGCGCCAAGCAGACTTGTAAGACTGTCTCGTGCCGGGTGCCCATGCGCCCTCGAGAAGTCGGAGAGTCGATTGCGAAACTCCTGCGATTGACCAGGGTCCCCGGAGATCAACCATGCCATGAGGCGGAGGAGGCCCTGAAGGATCAGAGGGTGGGGGGTCCCATCGGGGTCCCGTAGGAGAGATTGGGCATCCGGGAGGAGCCGTGGGTGATCTATGGCCATCTCCAGCAGAGGAGGAAACCAAGGTTGCGCTGGCCAGAGGGGGGTTATTATAACTAGGCAGCCCCATTGGCGTCGCAGATGGAGGAGGCAACGCGGGATAAGGGCGAATGGAGGAAACGCATAGTTCCTGGTGGTTGACCAGTCTTGGGAGAATGCATCCATGGCTGAAGCCGCAGGATCTGGTCTCCAACTGAAAAAGGTCGGAAGTTGGGTATTCAAGCGGGAGGCAAATAAGTCTACCGCCAGAGGACCCCACAGGTCCCCAATGCGCTGGAAGACTCGGGAATCGAGGTGCCAGTCGCTGGCGTCCCGCAGGTGACGGGAGTACCAATCCGCCGTGGTGTTGGACAAACCCGGTAAATACTCCGCCCTGACAGCCATGTTGTGGCGCAGGCAAAACTGCCAAAAGTCTCGAGCCAGATTCGCTAAAATTTTGGATCTCGTACCACCGAGGTGGTTGATATAACGGACAGCCGATACGTTGTCCATCTTCAGAAGGATCGAACACTGGGACAGTGTCGGGGAAAGGCTGCGAACCGCAAAGGACCCCGCTAGGAGTTCCAGGCAGTTTATATGTAGCATGGATTCTGCTTCCGACCATCGTCCGCCTGTGACGATATCTCCACAGCGCGCACCCCAACCGTACGAGCTGGCGTCTGACTCTATGACTACGTCTGGGGCTGAGCCGAAGATGGCTCTGCCATTCCATGCCTCCATGTGTAGGAGCCACCATTGGAGTTCCTTTTTCGCATCCGTGTCCAGAGTCAGAGTGTCCTCTGAGGTACGACGCCTGCAGGCGTTGGAGGGCTCTGTAATGAAGGGGACCTGGAAAGATGGCCTGTATGGAGGCCGCTAGGAGCCCGATCACGCGGGCCAGATGTCTGAGAGATATGTGTTGAGAGGTAAGAACTCGTCTTATCTCTTTCTTGATACTTCTCATTTTGGATGTTGGTAAATACAGGGTTTGTGTGTCTGAATCCACCAAGAGTCCTAGGAACTCTATTTGTTGAGTGGGGATTAGAATGGATTTTTCCCAATTTATAATGAAGCCCAAGTTCTGTAGCAAGGTTGTGGTCCAACCGAGGTGAATATGAAGTAATGATATTGATTGGGACAGTAGCAGGATGTCGTCTAAGTATATGATTAGACGAACTCCCCGACTGCGTAAGAGAGTGATGACGGGCTTCATGAGCTTGGTGAAACACCAAGGTGCGGAGGAGAGCCCGAAGGGAAGGCAGCGGAATCGCCATTTCCTCCCTTGCCATGTGAATTGCAGGAAGTTTTGGTGCACCTGCGCAACGGGTACCGTGAGGTAGGCGTCTCTCAGGTCGAGTTTGACCATCCAGTCCCCTGGCTGGAGTAAATCCCGTAGGCAGTGAATGCCTTCCATCTTGAAATGATGGTAGGTTACGTAGGTGTTTGTGTTTGAGGTTGATAACTGGGCGGGATCCGCCCCCTTTTTTGGGGACAATAAATAGATTGCTCACAAAACCCGGGGTATCTATCAGGATTTCTTGAATAGCCCCTTTGAGTGCTAAATCTTGAACTTCCTCGGAAACGAGGGTCGTGTCTGTTGGGGAAAAAACAAGCTCCCTTGGTTGGGAGAGTTGAGTGGGCAGAGATACAAAGTCTATTGGGTATCCTTGGACTGCCCTGAGAATCCAAGCATCTGATGTAATTAGAGCCCAGACATGGGAAAAATGCATGAGCCTGCCCCCTATTGCCACTTGTGAAGAAAATTGAGAAAGGTAACTTACCGTAAGGACGTCTTCCGGAAGGAGTGCCTCGTGCACCTCTCGACACCCAAGGTCTACCTCGTTGAGGGAAGAAGGTCGGGACGGACCTCTGGTCGGTAAAGGGGGGTCTCCCCATATAGGGACCTTGGTTCTGGCGCGAACCTCTATTGGCTCTGCCGGACAGACGGCCCCTTGCTCTGCCGGCCCCACCAAAAACCTTTGGGTGGAACACCCTCTTTAGATTAGATTGTGCCTTGTCCAAGGCTGTGAATGTCTGGACATAGGAGCCCAGGTCTTTGACAAAAGACTCCCCGAAAAGGAACCCTTTAGCTTGGGCTCCCGGCTCAGTAATTGCCATGTTTACAAGTTTTGGTTCGATTTTAATCAATATAGATTTACGGCGCTCAGTAGCCAGAGCCGTATTGGCATTGCCTATGAGGCATATCACCCTCTGAATCCAGCCTCTAATAGTGAGGCGATCTAAGGCTTCGTCTTGCCTCAAGGATTCCTCCACGGCCTCAAAAATTTTGGTCGCTGGACCCAAAATATCCAAGACTTTATCCTGACAATTATAAAGTGAGAAGTCTAGACCCTTCTTGGGTTTCCAACTTGTTTTACTTAAAAACTGAATAATTTTGGGGTCCACCTGGGGTGTTTTACAGACTTCGTCTGGTACGGTGGGACGTGGGCATTCGGCCCTTAATTTGTTACGAGTTGCCTTGTCCAAAGGCTTACGGACCCGAGATGCGACGTACTGCGCCACATGCTCAGCCGGTGACCATTCCGCAGAGCGGGGATGACGTAAGTCGTCGGGTTCGAACAACGGTTCACCCTGTGGG